ATTATGAATCCTTCTAAAGTGTCTCCTTTCTCTGTGTGTGTGCATGCATGTGTGTGTATGCATTTACATTTTGGTCACTGTAGCTTTTAAGATTACTTTTGTAGCTTACTCCCTTATTGCTTGATTTTTTTGCTTATTTATTTTATGGAGAATGAAATACCATGTCACTTTGGCCTGCAATCTCTAATGAAGCAACTGCTGCTCTTTATAGACCTATAGTGTTTGGAGAGTAATTTGTTTTTCCAGTAAAAATATTTTTAATAGTTATCAGATTAAGTTGTAGCATTTAATCGCCAGTGTTCCCCGTAAAATACATGCTTATGCAGTTGTGTATTAATTCAACTATGCTTATATTTTGTTTCTTGTGTATCCACTTTGTTTTTTATTCCTCTGGTCCTGTTTCTTGCCTTCTTTTGGGTTGTTTTAAGTTTTTTTCCTTTTTTTTTGAGTCGGAGTTTCACTGTGTGCATAGGCTAGAGAGCAGTGGCATGCTCACAGCCACCACAGCCTCAACCAGCTGGCTCAAGCAATCCTTCTGCCTCAGCCTTGCAAGTAGCTGGAACTACAGGCATTTTGCATCACCAAGCCCGGCTAATTTTTTTGATTTATTGTAGCGATGAGGTCTCACCAAGTTGCCCTGGCTGGTCTCAAACCCGAGGGCTCAGGCAATCCTCTCACCTCAGTCTCTCAAAGTGCTGGGATTATAGGCATGAGCCACCGCAACCGGCCCCTATTTCTGATTATGGCAAAATATTCATAAAATTTACCATCTTAATTATTTTAAAGTACATAGATCACTGGTATTAAATATATTCATAATATTGTGCAGCCATCACCATAACACTTTCATTTTGTAAAATGTAACTCTATACCCATTAAACAATAATTTCCCCCTTTTCTCTCCCCCATTTCCTGGTAACCACCATTTTACTTTTTGTCTGTATGATTTTGATTACTTTAAGTACCTCATATGAGTAAAATCATACAATATTTGCCTTTCTTGACTGGTTTATTTCACTGAGCATAATGTTGTTATGGTTCATCCATACAGCACATGTTGAAGTGTCCTTTTTTTAAATGCCACAGAAACTATCATCTATGTAAGATAGTTCTGTGGATCTGTCCCACTGAGAGAAGACAGGGCCTTTTCTCTCATGCTTGTTACTGAAATGTGAATAAACACATTTACTTTGCTCCTATTTCAGGTATAATTATCAAGGTTAAAACAAGCATTATCCTAATCGACACAGCTGTAGCCCCCTCAGCGGGTAGGGCACAACTCGGGAAAAGATGCTATTGGGCTCCTTCCTACTCCCCAAGTCAGCAGCGGATCCTTCTTGTTGCCTCCTTTCAGCCAAAAGTTTCAAGTCTCTGGTTCATAGATGACCAGGTCCACAAGTACTTTCCCTTGAGTTCCACCTGGCACTTAGTCCACACTGGGGACTGCAGGCCCTGCTCCTGGGAGTCAACTGTAGTCCCATGAACTGGGCGTCCTCATATTCCCCTTCTTTCATCCTTGAGCTTTGGTGCATTTCACAAAAGGCTCTGTTCACAGCTCTGGTGGCCAAACTGTCACAGTGGCAAACTGCAATTCCCCTAGAAGTGCCAGGGATACTACAGTACCTCCTACACCTGCGTAGTAGTAGGTGAGGTGGTTCTGTAGCCAGAGCCATTCTATGAGGACGACCATGGTGCCCCCAGCCAGTTTCTCTTCCTTTCAAGGCTGAATAATATTCCACTGCTAGTATGTGCCACATTTTGCTTGTCCTTGCATCTGTTCATGGACTCCTGGATTGTTTTCATATCCTAGCTATTGTATGTAATGTGCTGTGAACATGAATGCACCAGTATCTCTTCAAGATTCCGCTTTTCAAGTTTTCTGAGTACATATTCAAACGTGGAGTTGCTGGATATGGTAAACTTATATTTATTTTTTTTAGTAACTGGCACACTCTTTTCCACAGTGGTTATTTATTATTGTTGGGTAGAGTGTTCTATCTATGTTGGTTAGATCTAGTTTGCTTAGTGGTAAGTCCTCTATTTTATTACTTCTATCCATTATTGAGTAGAATATTAGAGTCTCCAACTGTTATCTTAGAATTATCTCTCTCTCTCTTCAATTTGGTCAATTTTTGCTTCATGTATTTTGATTTTCTGTTATCAAGTGTGTAAATGCTCATATGTGTAATATCTTTTTGTTGAAAGGAGGCTTCTATTAATATAGGCATATTGGACATGTTGTGAGTTTGGTTCCAGACTGCTATGATATAGCAAATACTACAACAAAGTAAGGCACATGAAATTTTTTGTTTTTTCAATGCACATAAAAGTTTTGTTTATATTATACTCTAGTCTATTAAATGTACAGTAGAGCCGGACTCGGTGGCTCAGCCTGTAATCCCGGCCTTTGGGAGGCTGAGGTGAGTGGATTGCCTGAGCCCGCAGGTTCAAGACCCGCCTGGGCAGTGGGACCTCATCTCTACAATAAATCAAAAAATCAGCCAGGCATGGTAGTGCATGCCTGTAATTCCGGCTACTTGGAAGGCTGAGGTGGAAGGATCGCCGAAGCCCAGCAGGTCGAGGCTGCGGTGGCCGGGAGCGGCCACTGCACTCCAGTCTGGGCGACAGAGTGAGACTCCAACTCAAAAAAAAAAAAAAATGTACAGTAGCATTATGCCTAAAAAAATGTTCTTTTAAATAGGGGAGTAGGTTCATGGTACCCCAAAACAATTACCATAGTAATAGCAAAGATCACTGATCACCATAACAGATATAATAATAATAATAAAGTTTGAAATATTGTGAGTAAACCAGGCTCAGTGGTTCAGCCTGTAATCCCGTGCCTTTGGGAGGCTGAGGTGAGTGGATTGCCTGAGCCGAGTGGATGCCTGAGCCTGCGGGTTCGCGACCTGCCTGGGCAACTTGGCGAGACCTCATCTCTACAATAAATCAAAAAATCAGCCAGGCGTGGTAGCGCATGCCTGTAATTCCAGCTACTTGGAAGGCTGAGGCGGAAGGATCGCCGGAGCCCAGCAGGTCGAGGCTGCGGTGGCTGGGAGCGGCCACTGCACTCCAGTCTGGGCAACAGAGTGAGACTCCAACTCAAAAAAAAAAGAGAAATACTGTGAGTATTACCAGAATGTGACAGAGAGACACAAAGTGAGCACATGCTGTTAAAAAAAAAAAAAATGGTGCCAACAGACTTATTCAACATGGGGTTGCCACAAACCAACAATTTGTAGAATACACATTATCTGCAAAGCACAATAAAACAAAGTGTAAATAAGGCAAGATATACCTATATATAATGTTCCTCTTTGTCTCTTAACTTTTTTCCTTATTTTGGGTGGCTGTGAGCATGCCACTGTACTCCAGTCTTGGTGACGGAGTGAGACTCCAATGCAAAAAAAAAGAAAGAAAAGAAAAAGAAATTGTCCAAACTGGCCAGGCACAGTGGCTCACACCTGTAATCCCTCCATTTGGAGGTTTGAGACCAGCCTGGGAAACTTGGCGAGATCTTGTCTCTACAACAAATCAAAAAATTAGCCAGGCGTGGTGGTGCACCTGTTGTTCTAGCTATTCGGAAGGCTGAGGCGGAAGGATCACTGGAGCCCAGCAGGTAGCAGTTGCGGTGACGTGAGTGTGCCACTGCACCCCAGCCTAGGCCACAGAGTGAGACCATACACACACACACCAAAAAAAAAAAAAAAAAAAAAAGCTGAGATCAAAGATTTATTCAGTAACCACAACATGCCATTACTATGGGGGGACAGATATCCCAATATTCTTGCTTTTATAATTTCCAAATAGCAGACGCTACTTCCAAAGAATGGTCTAATCCTTCTACAGGATCCTTCCCTTCTATTCGGGCAGCACATTTTAGAAATCCTCAAGGGTGAATCCTAGGCCCTCTACTACTTTCACGCTATATTCCCTCCGCAGGGAATCTGCTACCTATTCGAGGCTTTAATTTCTATCCCCAGAAGATAATTCCAGTCTTCTGTACCCTACATACACCTCTTCTTTCAGTGTCTCAGAGACACTGAAGTTTCACACACCCAAAATAAAGCCATAATCTCACCTGACACGGTCCTCTTCTTACCTTCCCTTCTCAGTAGACAGATCAACCACCATCAAGGAGGAATCCCCTATGAATGCCCCCATCTCCTTTTATTCAGCGAGCCACAGAGTCACTCAATTTTGCATCCTAAGTATTCCCAAGATCCATCCAGCTAACGGTCGTTATTCTAGTCCAAACTGCAAACTTTTCTTGCCTGAATTGTTTTAATTAGCTAATCACTGACTCACCTATATTCACTATTGCACCCCTTCAATACATTCTTCCTGCAGCATCCACAATAATTCTTTCTAGAATGTCACAGTTCTGCCTACCTAAGGCCCTGCTCAAAATCTTTCAATCGTTTCACTTTGGTTTTCAGACTATGGTCAAAGTCCTTATAGCGAATTCCCCATAGTATGAACCTTATTTGCTTTGCTAGCCTCATCTTACATCATACTCCTAGGCTCTTGCCCCTCCTGTCACTCTGGCCATCTTGTTAGTTGTTCACAGACGCCATGTGAACAATTCTTGGCACAATGCCAGGCAAAGCGAGGACTTCTTTAACCACTTCATGTTCTCCCTGATGTCAAATTCTTGATATATGTTTCAACAGCATTATGTAACTCTCCTTTGTAGTATTTAACACAGCCATAATTTTCTATTTATTCCTGCAATTATTTGATTAATATCTGACTTCTCCGCTAGGGTATGAATTCCATGAGACTTGAGGATTATATCTTTTTTTGCTCACATTCTAATTTCAATGCCCAGCACAAAGTGAACATGCAATTAAGTATAAACTGAATGAAAGACTAATAAAGAGAATATAAGCCAAAATAATGGTGTTATGATTTCAGAGAAGATTTATTTACTTACCAAAAAAAAAGAAAAGGTAAACGTAAAATTGTACAGTGAAAATATAGTTAGTAAAATAGCTTACCTAGACACAAATTCACTTAATTCTAAAAATTCTGTGGGCTCCATTATTATGTTGAAGTCAGTAACAACAGAAGATAATTTCTCCTTGTTCTGAAATAAAGATTAGAAGTTTACATATCAGAGCACAATAAACTTTAAAAAGAAAAAGAAAAATAATTAAAAACATGCAAAATAAAATGCCAACAAATAACAGAAAAAAGTAATCAATAAATGATACTGAAAATAATGGTTATTTGTTAAAAGAATGAAATCACACCTTTACTCAGTATCAAAAACCTAGATGAACTCCAAATGAATTACTTAAACATTGAAGCCATAAAATACTAGGAGGAAGTGTAAGCTTTTAACTAATTATTAACTGAGAAAAAATTTTCTAAGCAAACAATAAAATTTTTAAAAATAGCTCCTAGGCTGTTGTCCCCCCGTCACACTAGTCCCGTTAGTTGCTCATAGATGCCATGCTCTCTTTCTACGTTTACATAAAAACTCAAAATATTTAAGTAAAAAATGACCTTATGGTCGGGCTTGGTGGTTCAGCCCGTAATTCTAGTGCTTTGGGAGGCCAAGGCAAGTGGATTGCCTGAGCCCACGGGTTGTAGACCAGCACAGGCAACTTGTTGAGACCTCGTCTCTACAATAAACCAAAAAATTAGCCAAGCGTGTTAGTGCGCGCCTGTAGTGCCAGCTACTTGGAAGGCTGAGGCGGAAGGATCGCTGGAGCCCAGCAGGTCAACGCAGGGGTAGCCGTGAGTATGCCACTGCACTCCAGCCTGGGCAACAGAGTGAGACTCCAACTCGGAAAAAAAAAATGGCCTTACAGAAAGCAATAAACTGAGGAAAATATTCACCATAAACATGACAAGGAGACAGTGAAAAACTGAAAGAAGTTGGGCTCGGTGGCTCAGCCTGTAATCCCAGCACTTTGGGAGGCTGAGATGAGTGGATGGCCTGAGCCCGCGGGTCCAAGACCCGCCTGGGCAACTTGGCGAGACCTCACCTCTACAATAAAAATAAAAAAAATTAGCTGGGCATGGTAGCGCGTGCTTGTAGTTCCAGCTACTTGGAAGGCTGAGGCAGAAGGGTCGCCGGAGCCCAGCAGGTAGAGGCTGCGGTGGCCAGGAGCGGCCACTGCACTCCAGTCTGGGCGATGGAGTGAGACTCCAACTCAAAAAAAAACAAAACAAAACAAAAAAAACAATGTGATGACATTTTTACCTATAAAATGAACAATGATTAAAGATTTATGCAGAAAGACATTCATAACAGTACTACTTATTACAAAAAGTCTGAAACTATATCCTCAATAATGGGGATTATTCAGTAAACTGTTATTTTGATCTGTAAATTCCCTTTTACTCTGGTAAAATGTCTTCCAATTTCTCTTTACATTTTTTTGCTACTCTTGTTTTTGGAAAAGTCATGTGTTGGCTCTCCATTGCCTTCTTCCAAATTTATTATCTTCTTTTCTGTTGTTGCTTTCACAGGTAAGTTTTCTCAAACCTATCCTCCATGTTCTACTCCTTTATATTTCTATTGTAGTTTTCTGTACTATGATCATTTTATTTTTCCTTTCTTTTTCTCTAAGCTTTCTTTCATTCTCACTCAATTTGCTTTATGCATTGGAAGTCAGAGCAGCTTTTATAAAGCATGTTTTTGTATTTCCTGGACTAATTCTTCCAAAGAGAATTTATTTGCAGCTAATCTCTTTTCTGCTCATGGCAGTATTCTTGCCATGACTTTAGATCACTTTGTCCAATATGGTGATTAAAGAACTCTGTAAGATCTTTGTGCTTCAAACTCCATGGTTATTTATGTTAATAGTTTTGCTATTGCCTAAGACTACAGTGAGTTGATACTCCTTGACTCTCTTACTCATTTGTCTGAACACTATCTGACTTGTCCCCTTATACCCTGAGTCATTAAGTAAATATTGATAGTTTGTAATCTTTGTTTAGTTTTTCAGTTGCTTGAGGGAGTTCTTGGAAGCAGGTGCTAGCAAAACGTAAATTCCAGAGGCGCTCAAAAGACAGCCCAATTAAAAAATGAGCAAAACATTGATAGGAAGAATCAACATTGTTTAAGACGTCCATCCTACCAAAGGCAACCTACAGATTCAATGCAATACCCATTAAATTACCAACATCATTCTTCTCAGACCTGGAAATGACAATACAGAAATTTATATGGAAACACAGAAGACCACCAATAGCCAAAATAATCCTCAGTACAAGAAACAAAGCAGGAGGTATCACACGTCCAGACTTCAAACTTTACTTATAAGGCTACAGTAATCAAAACAGCCTAAAATTGGTATAAGAACCAGCATATAGACCAATGGAACAGGATAGTGATTCCAGAAGCAAAACCTCAATTTCTCAACCAACTCATTTTTGACAAAGCCTCCAACAACAACCACTACGGAGAGGAGAACCTATTCAGTAAATGGTGATGAGGAAACTGGCTGATCACATGCAGAAGATTGAAACAGGATCCCTACCTATCACCTAAAAATCAACTCTACAAAAATTGACTCTAAATGGATCAAATGCCTAAACGTAAAACCTCAAACTATAAGAACCTTAGAAAATCCAGGAGAGGCCAAGCGCAGTGGCTCACCCTGTAATACCAGCACTTTGGGAGGTCAAAGTGAGAGGATTGCCTGAGCCCGGGAGTTTGAGACCAGCCTAGGTAACTTGGTGAGACCTGCCTCTACAATAAATCACAAAAACTAGTTGGGCATGGTGGCGTGCATCTGTAGTTCCAGCTACACGGAAGGCTGACGCGGAAGGTTTACCTGAGCCCAGCAGGTCGAGGCTGCGGTAGCCATTGAGAGTGCCACTGTACTCCAGCCTGGGCGACAAGAGTAAGACTCCAACTCAAAAAAAAATAAAAATAAAAAAGCAGGAGATACTCTTATGGAAACTGGAACTAGCAACCAATTCCTGATCAAAACCTCAACTGCCCATGTCATAAGAGATAAGATATACAAGTGGGACCTCATTAAACTGAAAAGTTTCTACAAAGCCAAAGAACCATCAAGAGAGTGGGGAGACAGCCCACGGGAAAAAACCACAGTGAGATACCACTTAACCCCAGTAAGTATGGCCATCATTAATAAAACAAACAACAACAGATGCTGGTGAGGATGCGGAGAAAAAGGAACGCTCCTTTACTGCTGGTGGGAATGCAAACTAGTGCAGCCTCTTTGGAAAACAGCGTGGTGATTTCTGAAAGAACTAGAAATTGACCTTCCATATGACCCAGCAATCACCCTACTGGGAATATACCCAGAGGAACTCAAATCATTCTACAAAAAAGATACCTGCACATGCATGTTTATTGCACCACTATTTACAAAAGCAAAAAATGAAACTAACTGTGCTGCCCATTGAAACTGGACTGGATTAAAAAAAATGTGGTACATATACACAACAGAATATTATACAGCCATAAAGAAGGACAAACATATGGACTTTGCAGCAACTTGGATGGATTTAGAGTCTATCATACTCAGTGATCTAGCACAGAAACAGAAAACTGAGTACCACATGTTCTCACTCATAAGTGGACCTTGAACAATTATCATAATACTACAGGAAAGGAATTGGTCTTAGTGGGAAACTGCTAGGGAAGCAAGGGTGGGACTGACAGTAGTGGGAAACTGCCAGGGAGATGGGGGGCACACCTCATCAACAAGGGTACTTGCATAATGAACATTTGTATACATAACCCTGAATTGTACCCCACATCTTTAAAATAAAAAATGTAAATAAAAAAGTAAAAACTAAAATAAAAAAGAAGTAAGCAAAGGATTTGAATAGACATGTTTCTATTTTTTACGTTGAAGTCTCACTCTGTCGCCCAGGCTGGAGTGCAATGGCACGCTCACGGCTACCATAGTCTTGCCTGCTGGGCTCAAGTAATATTTCTATCTCAGCCTTCCAAGTAGCTGGAACCACAGGCATGCGCCACCACACCTAGTTTTTTTTTGGTTTTTTTTTTTGAGTTGGCACTCTGTCTCCCAGGCTGGAGTGCAGCGGCACGCTCACAGCCACCCCAGCATCAACCTGCTAGGCTCAGGTGATTTTTCTGTCTCAGCCTTCCAAGTAGCCAGAACTACAGGCACGTGCTACCGCTCCTAGCTAATTTTTGATTTATTGTAGAGACGAGGTCTCACCAAGTTGCCCGTGTTGGTCTCGAACCCATGGGCTCAGGCAATCCACTTGCCTCGGCCTCCCAGAGTGCTGGGATGACAGGCTGAGCCAGTGAACCCGGCCTCTACACATACTTGAGCAAGAGACAAGCGTGCCCCTGATATTTTTGTTTTCCTTTTTGGGGGAAACTGCTCTATTGTGATATAATTCACATACCATATAATATATCCGTTTAAAGGTATTGTTCAGTAGTTTTTAGTATATTTACAGAGTTGTGCAGCCATCACTATAGTCATTTTTAGGATATTTTCTTTTTTTATTTAATTTTCATTTTTTAATTTAATTTTCATTTTTTAGATATGAGGTCTTGCTATGTTGTCCAGGCTGGTCTCAAACTCCTGGGCTCAAGCAATACTCCCACCTCTGCCTCCCAAAGTGCTGGGATTATAGGCATGAGCCACCATGCCTGGCCCATTTTTCGGACATTTTCATCACCTCAAAAAGAAACCTCGTGTTCTTTAACTATCACCCTTCACTACGTCCTCCTTTCAGTCAGTCTCAAACAACCATTAATCTATTTTCTATCTATGGATTTGCTTGTTTTGGACATTTCATACAAATATAATCAGATATGTGGTCTTTTACGTCAGGCTTCTTTCACTTAGCATAATGCTTTCAAGGTTCATATGTGTTGTAGTATGTATTAGTACTTCTCTATTTTGGCTGAATAATATTTCATTTTGTGGGTATGGCATGTTTTTATTCATTCCATCAGTTGATGGAAATGGTTCTATCTCCTTTTTACTATTATGAGTAGTGCTGCTATAAGCATTTGTATACAAGTTTTAAGTGAGCATATGTTATTTTGGGGGTGTGTAACTAGGAGTAGAATTCCTGTGTCAAATGAAACTACTAGTTGATGAGTAATGATGTTGA